CATCAGGTACATATTAAAGTTTTTCTTCATTACCCATTTAAGCCGTCTCCAGCCATTATTAAATATATCTTACATATCTCCTCACCATCGTTACAGAATGTTAAAAAGTACACGGCTATTTTTACCGACTACTTTCAAACTAGTCAATTCAACAAAGCCGTATGCATCAATACGCATAATCTACACAAATGTGATATAATAACGAGAATAGTCATATAACTATTTCTTAAGTAATCTCAATAACAAAGTATTAAACACACAATTAAACGAATCGTCAAATGTCTTTAAATACTTAATTTTTCCATCAATATAAATCTTTGTAATGTAAATAGTAATACCACATATAATTATACGCAACATATAATTCCGTTATCGCTGTAAATATCGAGGTAATTTATTTTAATATCGTACTACTCAATCAGATTTCCTCGAGAGAGACTATAACTAACGAAGTACTATGTAATACTCAATAAAAGTTTGAAATATATATATATATATCCAATTTCTTCATTTTTGAACTTAGAAAATTCTCAAGGCATACATTTTACTAAGAAATGTTACAATACTTGTTCTCATGATACTTTTTATATTTTTTAACTTTTTATCGTTCGTTTTGGTTCGAGTATATATTTTTTAAAGTTGATAATATACTACTTTCTAAGACAATAATCGTGTTTGACTGTTACAATGTTTTTCTCTGCGAAATCTTACTATTTCTTATACGCAAAACAACAATGAAATAAACGGACAGTTCACTGACACTCAAGTCCAGATCAAACCACGATAGTGGACAGAAAACCCGTTCACTCCGATGAGATGGACTTTATATATCTAAACTTCTAGAGAACTGAGATCGTCAAGAACAAAACAGACTACGAAAACATCTCCCTTCAACCCTAACTAAGTTTACCGCATATTAAACGCCCACTCCACACTACACTTAATCGCTCAGTAACCTTTGTAACAGCCCAGCCAACAGAACCAATACATACGAGTTTTTTTTATTATTATTTCTCTCCGCAACGTGTGTTCAAAGCTTCAGAGGCGTATTTTAATTAGAATTTTTCTCTTCGCCTGTATGTATGTGCGCGTGAAACTTGCACATATATATGATACTGAACAGACATTAAAAACTGCTTGCTAACTCACCTGCTGCGTGGCTGAGTAGATAAGGACCCAATAACTTTGCTTTCTTCTTCTCATAGCCCTTTTGGGTAATATCACCTGATACGAAAGAGAAAAACAAAACAATGTATTAGAGATTTATTACTGCAGAAACTTTTAATACGATTATAATAAATCCGAAAAACCTACAAATTTTAAGTTTCAAGACTTGCACTGACGATTGGCATGCAGAAAGAATGATAATGTGAAATAACTATTGGCAGATCAATTAAACCCTCTCTATAGTGGCTTGGTCATTTTGACCAACGTCTCAACCCCCAGGTAATCATAAAAGTATACAAACTATAACTTTCAATGTAGTTAATTCTGATTAAGAATTGAGCACACAGGATCACGTACAAAAGTTGTAATGGTTTTTCAAACGAGACCCAAAGCTCAAGCGCTTTCGAATAGTTCACTATTCTTCTTCTGACGATTGTTTGTTTTTTTGTTTGTTTGTTTTTTGGAATTTCGAGAAAAACTACACGAGGGCTATCTACGCTAGCCGT